TTTCATTCAAATTTGGTACTTACATTAAACATAATAGGACCTTGATGCACGTCATTTTTTTTCCCGGATCAAGTTCGAAATGGCCGACTGGCGGCCATTTTCTTAAAGAATTCAGTTCTGGATCCGTATCCAAGACATGTCTGGATTGATCAAGTGCATCATGTCACAAATAGATATGTGCATTTGTTTCATGATCCGCTTAACAATAGCTGAATGATGGCCATTTTAAGACCGAAAATGCATTAAAATCACGTATTTTCACAATTCCGGAACCAGATCTCAGTCATGCATGGATGGATTTTGTTCAGATTTAGTACAATGTGTTGTACATATGCAGGTGCATTTCGGTCATGATCTGCTTTGAATGTATATGTCACTCAAATATGAACGGAACGGGGACGTGTCATTGACAATGACTTGTTGTAAACTGTTTTTGCTGGGAGATGTTAGCCATGCCATAATTTGGGAACACTAGCGAAGACAAATTTGCATTAAAAGATCTTCAGTGGAATCTTTATTGTTATGATATTTTCCAAAATTTATGAAAATATTTTCAAGATAATAATTCATCCAGGATTACATTAACATCAGCAAATAATTTGAAAGTCTTTTATTTTATTTTATATCAAATATCAAGTATATGTCAATGACTTCTGCACTTTTTTTCTTAGATTCCTCAATATTTCTGGAAATGAACCCGAATTTTTGAGCCAACAGACAAAATTTGAGTCAATTTTCAGTTTTTACTCAAAAAGTTTGGCTTTTTTTGTCCCAATCTTCTGAAGGAAAGTGCAGACTATAGACAGAAGTGTTTTGTAAATTTGTGATGAAAAGAGGGAGGTGGTAGTTAAAAGGTTAAAGTGGCATCATGAGAAATCTATATGAATCAGTTATGTGTGTTTAGGGAGAAAAATAATCATCATATTTGGTTAAAAGTTTGTCATTACTTTAATGATATTAATAATTTAAAATATGATTTATCGTTTTTCCCAAAAAATATTATTCTGAAAAGTCACTAGAAATATTTGCTGATGTGACATTTCATCTTTCTATAGGAGTACCACACAGACCTATACTTGTGTATGTCATATGTACATAAATGTCTTTAAGTTGTATCGAAATCTGTCTGGTCTTATTAAGCTATGGGTTACATTGTGGTCGGTTAAATAGGGAAGTCAAATCAACTCTTTTGTTGTGGTTAGGTTACAGCGACCGTATCGAACAAATCAAGGTTTTAACCCTCTGATGACATTGTAGGGATGCGTGAGATTAGAACTGGTCTTTTAACACAGTCTATTGTTGTAGTTGTAGAGTGTGTCCATTGTCTTGCCCTACCTTCAATGAAGACACTTCAACAAGTGACAAAGGATGACCCATTGTGTTCCTCGTCTCCAGGTTGTCGCAAATCGAACAAAAGTAGGGATGACACACCCTTGTCCCTAAAGAACAATATGCACTCAGAAGGACCGGTAAAATGGCTGAATATCTCGTATTGTAAACAGGTGTTAAAGCCACTTGGCCGTGTTACAATACAGTATGTGCACATTGCAGGAATCGTTAAAAAAATATACATAATGGTATACTATTGTTGTTAAAAACATTTTGGTACTTTGCCAATACCCATAAATGGAATCAAAAACATATTATAAATGGTTCAATGCACCTTTTTTACAGTCAACATCTACTTTCTAAGTTTTGATGTGATAATTATTTTTTAATTACAATCAAATAAATATTTAGGTTTGCTAAACATTTTTCTGGCATTGTTTTACAGGGCTGATAATGAATCAACAGTCAAATCAAGCAATTTATGTTGAAGCTGGAATACACAGTAACAACAACAACCACCAGCGACAAACATCGTGTCCGTCGTTAGAAGTTATCAACAATCGCCATCTGATGCAGACCATCCACAATCAAATGTCAAATAATCAACCGGGTCCCCACAACTTTGCCAATATTCCCACGTTTGAGGAAACTCTATCGCCCACTGTGCCTTACGATGTTGAGAAGATAGAGCGAGTGTTCTCCGCTAAGTCTCTAACAATAGAGCGAGCCTTATCTGCACATTCCTTGCATGAAAGAAGTAAGCATATTTCATATCATTTCATAAATTTATTTTTTATAGTTCACCCTCTCACCATCCTTGGTTTATTCTCCATCTCTTCTTTGACTTACTACTGTATATTCTGAAGAATTTTTACATTATCTACAGTAACAGCGTATCCCTGTCTGCTGACTTCATCGCATTGCTTCTTTCTACTTACTGTTATCTAAAAGATAGTCTTAACAATGACACTATAGTGACTTAAATCATCATACACTATGTCAACAACTACAAAAAACAACAACATGACTTTACGCTTTATGTAAAAAAATCGCACGTATTCAGTATTTACTGTTTTGAGTTTTCTCCTTCAATCCCATTAAATCTAAAATTTACATGGATCCAAGTGCCAAAATGTCCTAAAAAAAGTCATGTCCAATGCCGGTTGGAAGCTGACAAGTTCTGACTATGAAATATGTTCAAAATATATAACACAACACTAATTATGGCAGGACGAATGTGCCAAGCAATGTTTGTTACGGTTGTTGACTGCATTGAATGTTAGAAAAGAAGAAAACAAATTGGTTCGTTGCTCGTGTATTGAGTGATTGAAGTCTGTAAGTGATAGAATGCACTTTGCCTTGTATTCAGACAACTAACAATTGACCTTCAGCATTTCTGGAATTGCTGTTCCAAACTGAGGTCTGAAATTTGACCAATTAGAGCTTTGTTATGAAGAAAGTACATATAAAGGTTACCAGCCATTGAATGTGATGTGAAATTCAGTTTATTTTCCAGAGGATTTGATTACAGCAACACTTTCATTAACATATTCAACCCTTATCCTTAAGATCTGATTGCCAGTAAACTTTTAATACTGTAAATTGTTAATTTTTGCTTCTGGTAACTGCATGTGATTCAGTGTTTAAAGAACCACAGTGAAAATTTTCACAAGAGTCACTGAAGTGTGGAATTCATAACAATTTGTCTTTTGTATATTTGACAATTGCATTGAGATGCTTTAAGCGGTTTACTGTTTTTTTTGCTCTCTCTCTGTATCTGACAGATCTTGATTATTTGAAAGAATGCTTTATAAATGTGATAATCCTATTTTAATTTTTTTTAAATTTTTTTTTCAACAGTTGATTTAACATCCACCCCAAGTGACTTCGGTGTTTCTGGATTTGACAGTGAACTGCTACAGATGAGTGCTGTTGACCGATGTCCAAGTCAACTCTCAGCTGTGTATGCCGACTGACACCCATGAATCTCAATCAGAAATACCATTCGTGTATGCAGATTCAAATTCATTGCCATATGGGATACATCTCTGCTGTTTCATCTTGGTTGTGCGCAGATCCTGTATGCATGCGCCTGAATTTCATGATGTCATAGTCGGGTATCCTGATGTACAGGTCCTGATCGCATTTGTAGATGGAATCCTACGAGGCCAGAGTCAGCTTGAATGTAAATCCCAATATGAATCTGAAACTTCTTTCATAGAGAATTCATTATCCAATCAAAGAGAACTCTTTGATGATCCAGTACATGTTGTTTGTCATTTATTCAACAAGATAACTGTTGTGGACCATGTGGACATCTATTGTTGTGTAACTTATGTACAGTGAGATCGTTGGAACCTTACTTGTTTGAAATGTACAAACTGTACTTCTGAAGCCAAAGTTTTTTCTATTCGTCCGTTTATTTGACAGGAGTTGTTGCAGCTGGTTGATATAGTCGTCATGGTGATGACTCTTTATATTATATAAATAACGTTTTATAGAAGATAAAATGTACTTGTTATTATTTTAATGATATTTTTATATGTTCACATTCGGAGGGACAAGAATCATTTCATGTACTGAAACAATTTTGTTCATGTCAACATGTTTGCTTTATGAAGTCAGTACAGAGATGTGGATGTGAGCACAAAAATGAGCAACAAAACATGATTGAAATTTGAGTTCTTTTCAAAAAAAATTATTTATAATTTGCATAAATATAAATATAATTTTGTACCACAAGATTATTTTCATGCCAGGATTTGATAAGGAACCCAGGTTGCTAAAGCTAACTTTTAAGGCTGATGAATATTCATTGACTATTTTCTCACAGTATGTTCTTGTGCGCTGATGAATGAATGAATATTCATCGATTTAAATTATATTTCTTTACATGGAGACATGCTCATGAATATTCATCAGCTCTATGCAAAATGTACTCATGAATATTCATCAGATCTATGCAAAAGTTTTCATGAATATTCATCATCATTTCCTTTATGGCAGTGTGTGAAATAGTTTTCCATGACAAGAGTGACTTGATGAACCTGATTTGTTGTTTTTTATGATGAGAACTACAAACATTTTATGAAAATATCAAACAGTAGAATGCAGAGAAATTAATAATTCTAATATATTAAAATACAAGTATGATTTTTATGTAGTTGGTTAAATTTAGTAAAATGACCACACAATTCTGGGCCCTAGAAATTGTTCATTGATACACAGTTCTTTCAATTATTGAAAATTTGGTTGAAAATTGGTATGAAAAGAAATACACAGAAAATGTTTTGTTGAATGGAAAATTATGTGGGCTTTGAAAAATTGAGTATAATTTTACTTAAAAAAATCAAAACAGATTTCAAACATCATTGAAGGATGGAATTTTTGGCATTGACCAATTTCTAAGTGCTCGATGGAACTTGTGTATTATTAAGGGTGTTGGCAATGAATTCTGCTGCTACAGTTTTGCTGCATGTTTTAACTTTTTTTTTTTTTTTAGTGTGTGCAATATCCTGTCTGGATGACCTTCATATGACATTGGAATCAAATATTCTTGACAGACTCTTCTATTTAAAAAAAAAAAAAAATTCACCCAGAATTTAAAAGATGACAACCTGTCACCCATAGCAACAAATCCAAATACTTATGGGTATTTATTAGTTTCTGTGTTGCTATTGTAAACCAGTATTCTGCTTTTTCCAAGGTACTTTCCTTCAAATTTCTGCTTATAAATAACTGACAAAGTGATTTTAATTTACCGAATAAAGTGCCAAACTCATAGTATTTATTTATATGGAACTTTTAACATGCATGATAATGGTTTGTTGGGTTGGTGTTTCTTGTCTCCTCCTAATTCATTTCTTTGTGTATTGTATAGGCAGCCATGACAATGAGCACATGTTCTGGGACCTCATCTCCTTTTTCACATTACTTTAAAAACGCTGTATATTTTACCCATAATGCACTGCAATTTTATTTAATTATTATCTTTAAAAATCTTAAATATATATAATATAAATATTTGTATATATGGTGATATGCATGTTAAGTTCATCACTTTATTCTTGTTTAAGTCTCATTTGGAGTTTCAGAGAGTGTAGTCATCTTGTCACTGTGTCTGTGTGCACATCAGCTGAAGCTTTTTCTTCCCCCCTGCTTGTAAAGTGGAACAGTCCAGAAGTGGAGTATTCCCACAGAAACCTGACTGACATGAGTCAGTCCATTTTCCAAGCAGTGGTTTGATTTTCTCTGATTGGTCACATCTGTATTATTTTACTTGAAAACTTGTGTACACGTTTGTGTATCATAGTTGATGTTTTGTAATACATAAACTACATATACCTGCAAGTTACATGATAGTGTAAGTCTAATCTGATATAAGATAATTCACATATGTACCCTATCATAATTTTGACTTTTCCGCTCATTTTTCCAGTCTCCTTCTCACTTGTTACCATGGTAACATTTTTGCTTAACACATAAATTATTTTCATTTTGAGTAGGTCAGCGCAAATGTGTATTTGATGAAACTGAGAGAAATATAAAAAAAAATTGACCATGTTACTATGACGAAAGTGGTTCCTTAGCAATGACAAGAAAACTATTTTGTGTAACTTTTTCATTTATAGAGTTAAATAGAATAATGTATATTTTCAAAGCATTTATTGTATGGTTATGCAGATTATTATGATTATTATCTGCATATGTATTGCTGATTTCTATGTCTTTATATAAATATATCTTTATCGTAAAATTATGTAACCATGTATGTAGTTAAACTATGCGACTTTATAGTGAAAAATGCCCCTTCCACTAACCTTCCATGACATTGCCCCCCTTTTATAAATGGAACAGTCCTGAACTTTTGGGGATTCTTGAGGGCCATTGTAAATTATAAAAAAGATACATAAAAATGTTGCATTCAAATTATGACATTCAAATTTTGTGTGATCAACAACCAATCAGTACTAATGTATCAAAGCGCTGGTCAGCATATCCCAGTTTAGTAAAGTGTTCCCTGATTGGTTGACAAATTGAGTCAGATAAGAGTTCCCTGAATTTGATGTAATATGCGTCTAAACATTATTCTTGGTTTAGAATGGTTGTCCCCATTTGCTGTGGCTATACCCTGAAAACCTCTGTTACATATTAGACTCCAGTTTGAATTCTATAACTATGACCTGCTGCTTGCAATGGCAGCCAATCAAAAACAAATTACAATCCATTCAAAGTTGGGAGTTAGGTGCATTAGAGTAAAATCATGGATTTTGTTTACTCCATCCCATTCAAATAAACAATGCAGGGAAATGATATGTAAATCAGACTGGAGTATTACTAACAGCAGTAACA